TTGAAGCACTTCGAAAAGTGGATGACGCATACGACTTGGAAAATCACTTTGTCCTCATCGACCTGGCCACCGCCACCTGCAAACCGGCCGAGACGGAAGGGGCGCAGGTGGGCTCTCTTGTCTCAGCTGCTGCAGACGTTTTTCATGTTTCGCGCTCCATCCGCCAGACATATTCTCAAAATGACATTGTTCTATTGACACAGGACACCTCATACTCCGCGTACTTTGAACGTTACTGGAAAGATCTGGGGGAAACGATTCCTGTGAGGTATGTCGAGGGCTCCGGGTTAAATGAAAATGATCTTCGGCGGTGCAATGTGAAGAATAGTGCCGGCATCCTCATCTTTATCTCAGGAGACATCACTGGTGGATCAACCAGTGGACTATCCATGCTCGTTGACCTCTCACTCACAGCTATCCTGCCGTCATTTCACAACATTCCTGTTGTGGTGGAACTCTACAGTCCGCAACATCTTTCCCTCTTCCCGCCCTACGCAGATGACGATTTCCTTCGCCAAAAGGCCGAGGTGGACTTTGTGTTTGAGCCAAACTACATCATCGGTAACGCCCTTAGCAGACATATGCTGTTTCCTTTGGTACACCGCATGTACTTCATGGAGGAATTCATTGACATCATTGACATGCTTGTGTGCGGTATGGATGATGAGACGCCATCGTTGGGACGAATTCCACTTGCTCTTGTACCTGAAGCTCTGAAGACGTATGATGATGTTGTGAACTATTGCCTCAGCGTATGCTATTTGCCCATTGGCCTGCACCGCCGTATTGCTGACACACAAAACTTATCCCTTAATGGACAACGCTTTGTGCTGACAAATCCACCGCGAAACCTCCCAGTTGACCGTGAAGGCGACGCCGTATTCTACCTGCTACCTACTTGACAGATCTTTCTTTTTCTGCATGTGTGTTTGGATATAACTGTCTTGCTACCTGTCCCATTGCGAGTGGGAGAAAGTTCCAACAACAAGGGATGTGCCACCGCTGCGGTGTACAACATTGTCCTCTTCAAGAAGAGTTGCTGAGGGCGAATGTCGGACATCCGTTGTGATCAAAAAATGTGAATTAATTTCTGTGGGATTCTCTTTGCAGCGCTGGGCTGCCGATGTCAGAGCAGCAATAGGCTTCTAACGCCTAATTCTCTTAACGAGGTCGAGTGGGAGGTGGAGTCCCAAGAAGAGCTTGTTGGCTACTTTTTTACTCTTTATACAATACCTCGGTGTTGTTTCATGCTTTCTCTTGTTCTTGCCTGATCCTTTTATGTGCGATGCATTGCGCAGGCCCATCAGTGGGTGGGCAACCATCACTCTCTGTTGGTTATGCATGTGAATGTGTCTACGCCTGTGGACATTCCACATTAATGGAATTTGAAAGCGTTGTTTTCACTTCTGGCATTCTCGTTATGCTGCAAGTATGTATGCGCGCATATATAGTCAGTAAGCAATGTAAAGGAAGTATATTGAATGACCATGCGTTTTTTTTTGTGTGTATGCATTGATTTTTTTGTTCATTTAACGAAACTCCCCTTCTAGTACTATCTCCTTCTACCAGGCGGGGATATAGTACTCTACTGGTATACGCTCCACCGTTGCTCACGTGGGATGTAGATCTACATCTCGGATGAGTCTGAGGCCCTCAAGAAATGAATAGGGTCTTTTCCCTGCAGAAGTGGATTGCAGTGGTGCTGTATGCATTCTCTCCTTGCTGTGTTTCTGAATTAAAAAGTCGTGATAGAGAAGACGAATAGGTGGTGCTGTTGGTGTCCGTGGTGGGCAACGCATACTCCACGATTCCGTCTGCATATACACATTGAAGAATAAACACATGTGCTCGTTGCGTCCAACGTTTTCTTTACTTTGTGTGCTTTGCTAACTGCTCGGCTGATCGTGGCGTGCCTTGAATTTGTTATGCCGCGCTATAAGTTATCCACCGATGCAAAGCATGCTCTGGTGACCCATGCGGCGAAATAAGAAAACCGAATGTGTGGAGATGCACAACTGCTGGTTGATGCGACGTCACGGAGGATGGATGACATCACATGACCCGTTGTTCTGGAAAGGTGGTGATGACTCCGTCTGTAATTAATCCGCCGTTGTTCCTGGGGCATGGTGCGAGACAATTACTATGCCGACCAGATTGCTGACACCTGCGTTGGGCTGTCACAATGAGCCACCGTTGTTGTTCCTGTGGGGAGAGGATGCCCCCGTGTGGTTGGGAGGCACCACTCAGGGAAGGATGAGATGCAGCGTTGCTGTGAATGAGGGCCTGAGTGTTTCTCTCTCTTGGTGTGCCGTGAGGGGCTATTATTCGTGTTTGTAACGAATGGCGACGTGGACTTTCCGCCCGATCTGCTTTCCTACCTGCGGCGCGCGATGCACTAGATGACGCGGCAGGGCGCTGTGCACCTGAAGGAGCGGGCAG